ATTTCCAAATATGATGCTTTCCACATCTTAGAATCCCATGTATTTTATCATTTATTACATTTATATTTTCTTAAAAGTTTCTAACCTACTTATACTGGATTCTTTAGCTGCCTTCCTTCTCATTAGATCCTATCTAAATAGTGGCATAACAAAATTATTCTCTACTAACCTTACTCTATCAACCAATTATGAAAACTCTTAGATTCTTAATGGTGCCACTAAGTGCCTCAACTCATATTTTAATCCTCTAAAAAATCTATAATATTTCTATTTTATCATACAAATCAACTAAGTGGCATTCCTGGCCAGTACAATAAATTTTGATTCATGCTGCATCACTATCCTTTCTCCATGATTTAATCTCATGAAAGCCTCCTGCATTTATTATTATGCTCATAGAGGTGCTCACAGAGGTACAAACCAATTCCTGCAAAGTAATAATAAACTCTAACCAAGAAATCTCTGCACTCATCTTTCCCTGGAATTTTTCATGATATTGTCCTATTTACCACCTCCTTGCTTCACCTTCAAACAAAAATACTACTTATAACACCTTCATGCTCTCAAGATAATATATAATATCAAATATCTTTTCAATTCTCAATAGCCACTCTTTTGTTATCTTTAGTTCTACAACTCCATTAAACACTGTTGGCTTCAATTTATAAAATATTTATAGGTGCTTATCTTCATCACTATCTTTGATCCTTGATTGTCTACTTTAAGTGTCACTTATAATCTGAGCAACCATATTTGCAAGTTGCAACACACTATCAGAAGACACTTGAACTACTACTACACTTTGTTCATTATGTATATTCTCTTTCATAATCAATCAAGCTTGCAAATTCAACATACATATAAATGCAAATAAATCAATCAAATAAGTAAATAATAAAATATATACTACCTTTTTTTTTTAAATATATACTGCCTAATTTCTACCCCACTCATGATCAATCCTATAGCTCTGGTGATAATTTAATTCTTCTAATAACTATTGCTCTAATACCAATTTATAATGTCTTAAGATCTATATTTAGAATAATTATTTGTTTTTCCTCAAAATTAATTCTCCAATCTCTAAATACTCTTAAATATAAATAAACTAGTGAAAGCAATTATAAATCATATACATCAAAATGTAATTCTATATTCATTCATTCAAAATTTTATTTATGAAAGCCAGGAGATCACAACAATATCAAATATCCTTTGAAATCTCATGAAAACAAAATAAAATATTAAATACAGACAAAATAAAACCTGAACATTGATCAGCCTCACTCCAATGGGTCCTGACTTCGTCTTAGACCTGAAATCAATGAAAATTACATAATGAACCCATAACCTAGCAAGTAACCAAAACTTACCATTGCATCTGATTCAAGATAAAAGAATCAATATGTATGATTTAATTTCATTCAATATCAAATAATAAGCTAGTTGTATAAATAATAAGTAATCTATATAATTAATATTATATAACAAGTTGCAGCCAATACGATCTCTAAAATTTAGAGTATCTTAGTAAGCAAAATAAGTCCATCAATCTATAAGAAATTTGATAAAAGTTTATCAATCAGTAATAGTGGATGTATAATAAAAAAAGCATCAGTCAATCAGTTATTTTAATGATGATGATTCAATCATATACTTCTACTAATCAATGTGTCATATATAAATGTGTATCAATATAGCATATCAATATATTATATTAGTATGCTTATAAATATGTTGTATCAATGTCTATCAATATCTATTAATATCCCTGTCGCATATTATGACATGTTATATCACTCTCAATACTAGTTTAATCAATTCTATATCAATTATATTTATAAATAAAATTCAATCAAATCAAATGTATCATGTGAATGCAATTTTGGATACAATTATGAATAGTGAGACAAGACATTATCTAGCTTTAAAAGTGATATTTTTATCCTTCCATATGTCATCAGTCAATCATATATTTTAATTATTTTAGTATCCATATATTTTAATATATGACTTTCAATACATTAATAAAGAGTCATCACTCTTTATCCACCGGTGTAATCAGTTAATTAATTACAGGTTAACATCCATGATTACCCCATAAGTTTTTTATCTTATGAAAAATCTATTGGTCCATCCTCTTGTACAAATTAATATATTTTAATAACGAACTCATATAAATTATAGTGTTCATAGCTAGCCTTCCTTGCATATAAATGCTACATTTATCTTGTATAAATCATATTATTATTTTCTATCCAAACATATTATGCATGAAATGTAGGAAAATATACACACTATATATTAACTCCTAAAAATCATAACTGTCAATTTACTTAGTGAAATTCAATAATATTATAGTCAAAATATTTAGGGTGATGATATCATCATATATAAAAAATAATATAGTAAAAGTTAGATAAATCAAGAGAAAATATATTTTTATCAATTTGGGGGAGATTAAATTCACCAATGATAAAATCAATAAAAAATAAAGGTAGGATCCAAGTTACATACCATGACCAAAAGAAATCTTAGAATGAAACAAACGGAAGAAAATGACCTAATAAACCTTCATTCTCCTTTCTTTCCCCCTTTCCTCTCATTTCTTCCCCAACAAAGCTTTCATGGAAGGGTTGGGATGGCATGGCTTGTGTATAGATTAATATATGTTATTATTTTAAAAATTATTATTTTAAAACACCCGATTCTACAACACCATAATTCTCAGTTAGAAAATTCTAGATGCTCAAAGATACTCTCAAATAAAGAGCTCATCATCACAATGCTTTGCCAAACACTATCCCAATAAAGAGAGGGAAGCACTACAACACCACCATGTGTAGTTCCGCTTTGCTCTCATGCCCCGTATTTCCAAACAAAGAGGAATATACTGTTACAATCCTAATGCCAGTGCCATAACGCTCCTAGAAAGATTTTTCCTACTTAAATTTAGAATTTTCCTATTCAGATTCTAGACTTCTAGATGACATATTTGGAACATATAAAAACATAGAAAAGAGTCTTACCAGGTTGTGTAGTAGCATTTATTACAAAATCTGCCTGCAATCCTTAGTGGCCTTACTAGATGGAGTAATATTTTTGGGTCATGATGATGTCAATCTTGCTACATGTATTACCTTCTCTTCATCCTATTAGTCCTAGAGTTGTTCCTATCGTGTTTATGTTGTTGTGGGCGATCTTTCCTTGTAGGCAGCTCTGTGTGATCAGCAACTGAGGAAGACTCGACCACACTATTATATTCCACAACATTCACATCACTATTGGAAACTACTGTAGGTCAAGCACATACTCAAATGGCCCTTTTCGTAGGCCTTAGAGTAAGAGCTACCTCTTCAACTACTGGTTTAAGTTCCTTGATCTATTATATATATATCTCTAAAATCTAACAATTAAGCTTTTCAGTGAATTGCTAGCTTCTGCCCCCTCTTCATAATAGCTTACAAGCTTTTGAGCAGTTTGATCTCCCACAAATTGTGTAAGAAACATCATTTTAAGCTCTAAAAAGGATGTAATAACCCTACCGGTGGGCAGAAAAACCATCAAAAAGCAAACTCTTCTATGATGCCTTTGCAAACTCTTAGTGTTTGATGTGCATCAATGAGGATATTGACTTGAAGTATGCAATATGATCGTGAGATCAAACTTTCTCTAGTATGACTCCCGGTGAGACTTTTTGAACTTTACAGATTGCTTTGCTGCTCAATCTATCCAAAAAATGCATTGGTCAACTCTGGCTCTCTCATCTTTACTTGTCTGGGTGTTGGAGTCTATTCTTAATCACTAATGTGACTATAATTTCAAACTGAAATATAGATTGAAGTCGGGGCTAGAGTACCGGATAGTCTTCGACAAAATGTCGAGTCAGAGGATCCCTTGGGAGTACTCGCCCTAAGGGCATCCATCTAAACTCTGACAACATTTCTTGCATCCATCCATGTAATATATTTTCTTATCATTGACATTAATTCACGCTTACCAAATCTTTTAAGATGTTGGATCAAAACTTGCCTGTTGGTGATGCCTGATGCAACTAGCAAAGCTTGGCTAGGTTAAAATAATAGAACATGAGGGAGAATAAGCTAATATAAAGAACTGCAAGAAAATTAAGGGCATTAAAAGGTACATTTTCAACTTCCAACTATTTTCACTATTCACAAAGATAGTGATAGTAACTAGGAAGAACTGCTGAAAGGGCTGAGACCTGATAGGGTGAGTACTTTAAGTGAAGACTTATTGAGTTGATTCTTTTAGTCAAACTCAGTCGAAACATATGCATCCCTTGGCCGACCCCTTAGGATGAGTTTGCATACTACCAACATTTATTAGGTGAAATATATGCTTGTCCTTGACCGACTTCAATGAATACTCCTATGATGAGGCTCGTTTTGGAGAAAAAATTATTACGTGTGAATGCCGAATGCGTCCAGATACCAATCAGAAGCCGCCACATCACCCAATGCATAACTTATTGCATGATTTGTTGGTTTATGATTGATCTCCGGACACATTCGACATCCGCACATAATAATCTCTCTGTTTTGAGGGAGCATGCCTGTTCACCAAGACCTTAATCTGCTTGGTAACTATGAGCTATATATCCAATTGTACGTAAATATACAAATGAAATAACATCCATGCAATTCAAAAAGTGATAAAGCAAAATAGCAGATAAGGGGTGCTATATTTATTCCAATTAACGTAAATGTCGTTAAGTGTGAAACAGCAGGCTTATATCTGAAGCATAATAGATAGGCTTATGCACCTAATACCCCACCAATAACTGCTGGCACACTAAATACCAAGAAGATTGTTTTAAGGCAGTATTTGGCCTCTAATCTTGAATATAATAATATGCATAAAAAATGACAATTGCAGAATGTCTTCAAAATATATAAAGAATGGCTAGAATATTAATCAAGAGTAACTATATTTATACATATATATAGAAGAGTTTTACACAAACACAAATTAAAAAGTACTAAAGACAAACTTATACATCTTTACATAAATTAAATAAGTCAGAAGGTTTAATCCAAAAAAGAGTCGCTTTTTTTGCTAAGAATATGATCACAGGTGAACTTCTTTAGCAGTCATAAGGTAGTGCACTTCTTGGTATTTTAGGCCCCTTCTTCAAAATTTCAGCTACTCGAACCTTTAACTTCTGATTAAGCCTTCACAAAGCATCAGCGAAGAGAAAGCAGAAACTCAGTTCAATTGGAACCTCAAATTTCCATGACAGAAGCTTCACGATTCAGTTTAAGCAACTTTTAAAGTCCAATTTTCGACAAATACTATGATCAAATCTCTTTGAAAACAATGTTGGTCTCCTAGGAGCAGGTGGACATGTCTCTGCAAAGCCTGTTAGAAGAGGTAAAGATGTGGGTGTCTTGCATTCTTCAGTTTGATCAGAATCGACTTCTTGGTTATTGACAGATATCTCCATAAGCTTTGTTGAAATTATCAGTTCAAGCAATGAACTGAAAATCAGCTCGGAAAAGCACTCTTCGGCACTGGGATCCTCGGTTAAATCATTTTCTGCAGTTTCTTCAGAATCAATAGTAAGATCACGACTCAGCACCTGCCAACGAGGCATGCAGGAACCCTTCATCTTCTTTGGAGCAAGCATCAAGTCATCTGGGCCAGGAGCGAATGGATCAAATTTGCTTTCAGCTGGAGTTTGACAAACTGGAGACAGATCCTTATCTTTAGTTTGATCTGAGGACGAGGATTCACTGGCTTCTGCATTATGGAAGTGTGTAACAGAAGCTGAGAATCTACCGGCAAGTTTCAATGGCGGGATATCATCACTGAAGCCTTTGCTGTTCTCCAAGCAGGAAGCTTTGCAAGAACTGTTTTCTTCAGCAAAACATACATCGTCCAAGCAGCAGGGTTTTAAAGAAAGAGGGTCCAGCTTGTGATTTATGATCCCAGACATAGTTATAGCCACCAAATCTCTCTCAAAAACCTTTATGCACTGTTTAACAATCAATCAACAGGAGCGAGTATACTAAATTCTGCTTGGTCGTTCCTTTTAGGATGTACCGATAAGGCACAAACCTGAATCCAACTTGTATCCACAAAATTCAAACATTAGCAGATCCAAACACCAAAATTACTCTCTAAATTCAGGATTAAAAAACTAAAAAACATAATCACAAGAAAATCAATCAAATATCATTGCCATAAATTAAAATTGTTAGCTTTACCATACTAAGTGGGGGGCGGCATTACAAATCCTTTATCATTCATGTAATCCAGTGAAGTGCCTCCTGAAGTGTAAAGTTTATTTTATTTAATTTTTTTTCATGGCTTCTAGCAACAATACCTTTGGTCTATTCCTTTTCTTTCCTAATCCTTCCCTATTAATTTTATCCAACTACTTTATTTATGCATCTTCTACTCTTCCATTATAGATGCCCAAACCTCTCATATCTATTGTTTATCTTCAATAGGTATAGCCCCTCTCACATAATTATTCTCAATCCATCATTCTTAATTTTGCCACGCGTCACTTGTCATATTCATTTATTGCACACTCAACTAACTGATAGTGATTTATTTGTCACCCAACATTCAGATTCATATGATATAATTGGTCAAATTATAATATCACAAAATTTTTCTTGAAATCTCCAGAATACTTTCTTATCGTTTATTCATTTATTTTTTATTTTTTATACTTTCTTATCATATTATACTTATAAGACACTACATTTCAATCATTCAAAATAAACTTTGGAGGCTATGACGACATTCAATCATCAACACGCTTGGTTGCACAACATGATAAAGAGAACATTTGGAATATGGAACTAGAGATTCAAGTACTAACTCATATGTGCCAATTTCTTTTAGCCGTGCAAGTAGACGTCATATTTTCTTGTGCAACATTGCATAAATTTATTGGTCACTATTATGAATATGATCTATATTTCACTATATCACAAATTGAAATGCAACATGATAGTAAAATTAGTGAGATAGAAGTGAATAACAAAAATCTTAATGTACATGCAATAGTTGGGATAAGAATTCATGAGAAAGTGGTGAGACATGCAACGGCCACGGGCTTCCAGAGGCTTTGGTAAAAAATTTACTCCATTTAGTAAAATTTCATTTAAATTTTAAATTTTAATCCACTAATGAGTTTTTTTAATCTATCATAGGCATTTAGTCAACAACATCACTCAACATGATGAGATCACATTCAATTGCCAGTATATTAAATCACTCTCATTATGAAAGTACATGCAATATATTGATGTTTACCTATATTTTGTTCATAGTTGTTTGAATGCTCTTGTTGCTTTACAGCCTATTTATCATTTTAGTATTGTATGTGCCAGGCAAATTGTCCTGATTTTATTTTAACAACTTCTGTTAGCTTTTTAATTACATATGAATGTGAAAACTGTAGCTTTTGGAGACTTATCATTTTTACTTAGGTGATATTGCAAGTGATTTCTTGCATACAACTATAGGATATAACCCTTTTTCATTTTGCACTAAGCAAGTTCAATGGAATAGAATGCCAAAAGTGATTTGGGTACTCTTTTCCCCCTTTTTTTCCTATCGGGTTCTTATGCGTGCAGTCTGCAAAGCCTTAAACATAAATCTCGAAGTTAACAGCCATAAATTCCGAAGTACACAGCCAAAAATTTTGTTAGGATTTACCATGATTTAATAACTATCATGCCAAAACGTTTCAGGAATCAACAATCTCAGAATTTAATTAATCTGGATTTGCAAGATTTACTAAGATATTTCATTTTTGTGCGTTAGAATATCTAAAAAAACTGCAGAACAAAATTTCTTGTCTTTGAATCAAGCCAAGCAAAAGAACCACAACGGAAATATACCAATACAACACTCTCCAAAAAATCTACAATCAATAAACGAAGAAATTAAATAACGAAAGATATGGGAAATATTGGAAAAGCATGCAGAAAGATTAGAAGAAATGACAATAACGATCAATCGCTCATCGAACCACACTCTGTGCAGGCAAACAAAAACCCTAACTCCGTCAATATCAAACAGAAAAACATAAGTCTTGCGCGATTACGCTATATCTTCGATAGTATCACGAGAGTGAGAGACAGAGAGAGAGGAGATTCAAATACCTCGAACTTATCACAGCGCTAATGCGTCGAAAAATCAAGGGAGAATTAAGGGAGATCTGAGAGGCGGCGGGAACGGAGAGACGGTGTAGCTTAATATATCAGGGAAGGCGCGAATAAGGATCTGGACGGCCAGGATTGAATCAATTTCCATTCATCCATTCGTCCATCTTAAACCCAGTTAAAGGAAGCCACGTACCTCTCCCGTGGCAGAGATTATCCAACATGATTCCGATTGAGTTTACCGTCGGACCTCGACCTTTTTTATTATATTTATATCAAATAAAATAAAATCATGCACACTTTATATATTTAAGACTCAAAGTTAAAATCTCTTAGCTGAAAATCATAATTTTCGATTAACTTTTTTCATGAGCCAAATACAGTCAATCTAATCAACATTAAAGCTAATTGGTTCGTTGAAAAAATTAAAATTTATGATGGATATATATATATATATATATATATATATATATATATAATTCAAGTAGAATGAATGTAATGTAAAGAAAACTGATGATGGTAACATGTGGTGATGGTCGTTAGCATCACTGGTGGCTGCTGTGGTTGTTAATAGTTGGTGGCAGTAGTGGCCGATAGATTATGAGCTACGGTGGAGGGCGCGCGGTTGTAACATAACTAACTTACAATGAAAATAAATTCTGCTAAAATTGGGTGAGATTATAATACATTAAAAATGAACTAGAAAGTACAAAAGAAATTCACTAAAATTTTACAATGCATTCATTTTCCATCAAACTAAACACTCAAATTCTATTTTATAATGCATTCATTTTACAACAAACTAAATTATCCCTAAATTCTATTTGATTGGTAATTACTATAATCCTAAAAGAGTTGATACAACACCAAAAATTTGACTTGATCAACTATGAATCTTGATGTATATTTAAATTGGGAACTTCTAAAATTAATTTAGGGGCCATTCAAATTGCAATTGCAGCGAACTTATAGTCAAGTTAAACGTCTCGACAAGACGAATCTAACGACACCAAAATCAACTCAATCCAAGCCCAAATGAGCTCAAATCAAAGACTTAAAGTTTATTCAAAAGCTTCAGAGTATTAATTGGATGGCCAAATGATATCAATATATAGTGTGCTAATAGTCGAATCGAGTGGCTCAACGAGATGAATCCAACAAGCCAAAGATCACTTCATTTTGACATCATTCAGACAGCTAAATGCTGAATGAATGTTTTATGATTGAAAGAGTCAATATGGGCCATCCGATAGAGCACTCTAAATTTGCCCTAGATTTTCTCCATATTTACAGAGCATGTCATTCTAAATATCTATAAATAGAATCACGCTCTCTACATGATGGGAGCTTTTGTTTAGAGATTGAAGAAAGTTCTAAGGCTTCAAGGATCTTATAGCTCCACCCAAGCACCACCATAAGTGAACTTTTGTTGGCCAACAACCATCGAACCATTGACTGCCACTGGACCATCGATCAGTGCTAGACCCCGCTTGGCCATCATTTGCTATCGATCTAGAACAACCACTTGATCGTTATGGGGTCGTTGATCACCATGGGACCTTAGCCATAGTGCAGTCAGGCAGCAGACCATCGATTGCAGCTACATCATCACCAAACTATTATAGGGCTCTAATCACTATTGGACCCCTACCTAGCCACCGACTGTCACTAGACTATCGACGGACCGCCGACCACTATCACACCTCCACTAGACCACTAACCATCATCAAAACTCTACCCTATCATCGATCACTGATCACTATGGGACCTCCACCAAGTTGTCGATCACTATAAATTGCCACCAGACCTCTGCCTTTTTGACAAACTCTGTTGGTCCTTTTCCTAATCTCTATAGCTAGACTTCTAACTTCTATCATGTAACCATGGTCATTACAAACTCGAGTATCCATACAGAGTTTGACCAAATCTCTAAACTATTGTAATTTTATCGTCTATAAGTTAAGTGATAGATCAATCTTTGTATTCTACTCAATTATAGTGGAATCTTCTGTGCTTTTTCCCTTTTTAAGTTTTCCATGTAAAAACTTTTTTGTGTACCAGGTGTTCGTGCATTGCTAAGAAAAAAAAACTATCTCTCTACCACTGTGAATATACAAACCCACAATAGTTTGACATTATTTGTGGCAAATAATCTCACCTTTATAAGTATAACTAAAACCCTTCATTGGCCAATAGGTTTTAATAAACGCACCAATAAAAGCTCACGCTCAAATACACATCAATTTAGGAATTAATCTACAAATAAGGGATGACAGTCATCTATCTTTATTTTCCTTGGTGGAAGAAATCATGTTGGGGAAGGGGCATTAGGACCCTCCTTAAAAGACCAAATCCAAAAAAATGGAGGAATATCATAGAAAATCCTTCAACTTATGTGATGGACCCGACAACCATTACTAGTGCAATAAGAGAAGTCTTGTCTCCCTCAAGATCTACCCTTGGTCGAGGATAAATGGTTCATCCCGTACCAGAACAAGTGATTGTGATTATGGAGTGAACTTTTTTATTATATAAAAATCTAGAGCTTTATCACCTCCAAACAACACTTAGTTTTTTTAATATAAAAAGAACAAACACCACTTAGTATACACAAGTATAAATGCATAATCAAATAATAAAGTGATACAATATAATGGTGAACTCATGAGAAAGTATGCACACTTATAAAAAAATATTACTATTTACTCTAATTGTAATAATTATCCTACTGAAATAAAAATGATATTTTTAGAGATTTTATTATTGAAAAAATTATAAAATATTTGATATAATTTTTAATTAAAGTGTTTTGGATTAATGAATTTAAATTGCATATTTTTTCTAATGAGAATATTCATGTTAATGTGATTTAGAATATGCATCCCTAAATTTCTATTGAGCATTAAGGGAGAAAAATGCTATATGTTGACCTCCTATAGTTGTAGTATCTCCTTAAGAAACTAGGATTTTTTACATCCTATATCTTGGTATGCAAACATCCTATATAAATGCTCCTAGTTATTCATGCATTCCTCCATGCATTGAGGCTATACATAACCCTACATTTTAACTATATATATGGCCATTATGTGTATTAAATAAAGAGTGGGATAATATTAAAAACATCTCTTAATAATTGTAAAATAAGAGTTTTTATTAGTATTTAATATTGTTTGATGTTTGATGATTGATGTATATGTGTTATGTATATGTACATATTATATTGTGAATGTGTGTATGTTTTTGAATGTTTGAATGTTCGTGTTTATATTTTTGTTCGAGTTATTTTTTATTTTAATAGTTATTGTTTGTTGTTTCTTTTTAAATGTTTAAGTTTTTGTGTTTTGATCTTCATGAGAACTCCTTGATTTAAATTGGTCATTCATTTGGGGAAGCTAGACAAAAAATTTTCTTTAATTATTAACTGAAATAATAATTTTTTTCCATCATAAAATGGAGAAGATTGTTGCAACTTAGTTTTTATACTTCTTATATCATGTGTGTTTTTGATGATTCCCAAATCTTATTGTATTGATTTCTATTTCTCCTAACATATACTTTCCATGAAATGTTAGTATACATAAACAACAAAAGTAATATTTTCAATATATATTAGGAGAAACAATAATTAATACAATAAGATTTTGGAATCATTAAAAACACATATAATATAAAAATATAGTTATGAAAGCTACGTTACAACAATCTCTCCCTTTTTGATGATGACAAAATTAGTTATTCTTTGATTTAAAATTTTGAATTTTTTTTAGTATTATGAAGTTAATATTATATTTGTAATTGATTTAAAATTCTTTTATTCTTCAACTTTTTTTATTTATCTATAGAAACTTTTCATTTTAAGATGTACTTCCCTTTTTGCTGTTATTAAAAGGGTGAGTCATAATATTGTTTGATATTTAATGATTAATATGTGTATGTTATGTGTATGTACATATTATATTATGAATGTGTGTGCATATTTTTGAATGTTTGAATGTTCGTGTTTATGTTTTTGTTCGAGTTGTTTTTTATTTTAGTAGTTATTGTTTGTTGTTTTTTTTAGGTTTTTGTGTTTTGATCTTTATGGGAACCCCTTGATTTAAATTGGCTTGCCATCATCAATTTTGTTTTAATTATGTAACTTAATAAATAGGATAAGAATCAAAATCAATTATAATTTCAAACTTCCATTTCAAAATTAACTAATTCAAATGGTTGGACACCACATCTTCTCACTTGATAAAGATCTAACTATAGAGGAAGTTAAGTGTTTAAATACTATTCAGTTTGGAATGGGATTCCAAACCTTAAAATTATCAATGAATAGATAAAAGTTGATTTATTTATCTGCTGAGATCCAAAAGGATGTCCCTTTAGTTGAGATTGCTTTACGGTGAGTGACTTATTCTCCCATCCACAAAATGGAGGTTGTTGTTACCTCCTTACCCATTCCATCTTCCACTATGGAGGATGAGCAACTAAGATCAATGGTAGTACCTAAAAGATTATCAATATATGAGATTTAAATCAACTTTTATGATCCCCTTCATTAGCAAGAACCAAAAGAAAAACTATTTGAGAAGGGTGAGGAAGAAAATCACTAAGGCTAGGAAGATTGCTGAGTTGAAAAAGCCTTAGGTGAGGTAGAACTTGAGGATGCTGAAGAGTTTCCTATCCTTGTTTCCTCCCCTCTCCTAAAGGGAAGTTTCTTTACCCTCTCTCTGTCACAATGGGAGAGGAGAGAGCATTCAAGATAGATCACTTTCCACCAAGCCCGATTAATTATTACATGAAGAAGACTCTTAAGGAAAGTTGGCTCAAAAGAAGAGAATGTAAAAGATTATCATCCACACATGTGCTGCCTAGGCAGGTGAGACAAAAGAAGAATATCATAAGTGCTTCAAGGGGAAGATATCCCATAATATGGAAATAGAGATTCTAAGGTGCACCGGTCTACCCTATGAAGTCTCCAGAGCTGGCCTCTATTGTGGTTAGATATAAGGTAACCTAACATATAATGATAAGACATGAAAATCATTTGTGTTTTTATGAACTTAGGTTCTCATTTTATCTGTTAAGCTAGCTATATGAAAATATGGCATAACATATAGCAATAAA